CATACTAGAGACCACTGTTAAATATACTGAAGTTCCTCTGTAAATTAAAGTTTGTCAACACTGTCATGATTTCAAAATTATCAGGAGTTACTGATTAATTAATTTATTGGATTTGTTGTACTTTTTGTGACCATCAGTCACACTACTTTGTCATCCTATAGTCTGTTTGTACCATATAAAATTTAACTGTTGTCTTTCCTCCGGTATTTTAATGAATACAATATAGTTAGAATTTGTTCAGTTTCCCTCAAAAGGACAGATATAAGAGAAGCTTGCTGAAAGTTTCCACACACAGCACCTAAACACTGATGCAAGTATATTTAGAAAATGTTTTCCTTCCAATACATAATCAATAACAAAAATATTGTTTTGCAAACATTAATGGAAATGTTCAGTAGTATTTGCCATGTATATGTTCAAAACATTATCTGATCTCTGGTTTGTAGTCAAAAACCAAAGAATGAATATTTGTCACATTTCTTTTCAAAGAGTTTTTTATTTTTCATTGTTTACTGAGGTTGGCATCAGCTTAAAGACAATAAAGTTTCTTCAAAAGTTAAATGTTCGTTTTGAATTTTTTTTGGAAAAAAAAGATAAACTCGTATTCAAAAAAATATGTTATTTTAAACCTGTCATTTTGATTTCATAGTTGACTGAATTCCTTTAAAATGAAACCAAAAATAGTTATAAAGAAAACAAAAGAAATGAAAAAAAATTATCTGGCTTATTGTCTTTATTGATTCCCATGTTGTTGTTACTATATTTTACATCTTCAGTTATGTGGAAAGTGACTTTTCAGCCAGTACAACCATATTAGAATAGAGTTTGAATAATCCTCTTAAAACTGGAGAGACGATGGAGAAGTCCATGTCATTTTGTTTGGAAAAAAAAATGTATTCACTTGTCTCCTTATATATGCTATTATCTTTACTATTTACATGATGGTTTTGGACATAATATATAACACTTATGAATAAGTGAAATTGTTTTAGCTTGCACATCTATCTGCTCATCTTGCTGTGAACAGATTACTGCTGAGTGATTTCTGTGCTGCTCAAGTGAGTCTGATAATGATAATACAGTGTTTGAAGGTTTCTGGTAACTTTTATAGTCAGATCTCTAGTTCACTCATTTGACAAAAAGTAAGGAAGCCTAAACTCTTTTGCTGATATGTTTGTATAAGATATATGTTACTATCTATCTTCCTAAAAAGTTAACTGATTTTTTTTTTTTGATTAGTCAGTGATAGGTCAAAAGAAAGTATTTACTTTTTCCTAATGTTGGATAAACCTAGAGGAACACTGCTAAATAATTTGACTTCTGTTAGAATAAAGGCATTGTTTTTCTCCACCATTCACAATTAACATAGTGAGCAACCTGATAGCCCTTGAGACATTTTTGTAGCTAGTCCAGTAGCATCAAATTATAAGAGGATCGAAGAAGATTAATATATCAAATTTAGGTTTTCTTCTCCCAAATTTGTGTGATATGTAGCATATGAAGAATTTAGAGAAAACTGCATAGAAAATCTGATTCAAGGGCAACAGAGTCACTCATGACAATGAGTGAGAGGAGTGAAGGGCAGGCTCTTGACAAACAGTAATGTAATTGATAAATACTTCGTCCTAGAAATACTACTACATGCAGTTGAGAGACAAATGATGGAAATGTGACACCTTGAGATAGTGAACAAGTGAAAAACTTCTGCATATACAGAACTGGCACCTGGTGGATTTTGACCTGATGATGTGCAATCTGATAATTTAGTTGATTTAGGAGCTTGTTTTATTCCATTTTGTCTTGGTTTGTTTTTTTCAGTCTGCTTACACAGTTTTCACCATCAACCTTTTCTCTGAAGGTTTTATGAAATACTACTGTCTTTGCTGTTGTTAACATAAGATCTTGGACACACCTTTTACAAAATTCCTTTTTTTTAAAAAAAAACCAAACAATTCCTTGCAATGGACTCTAAGAACACACTTTACTGGGGGTCCAGCGGCTGTAATAGTTTTGTCATTTGTAGGTTCCACCTGCAATATTAATGTATTTTCTCTTTTTTTGTGTGTGGTCCTGTGGCGTTGCTGTCATCAGAACATATACAAAATTCATTCAGACTAAACAGTACCAGGGTCTCATTTACTACATGTTGTCACATTTTGTTAAGTTTCATACAATTTCATGTGGCTAGGTTTAGCAGGTAGTACTTGGGAAACAGGTATCCTACTTTATGTTTTCTCCACCTTGAATTATCTGGGAGTTTCACCTTCCAATTCTTCACTACTGTAACAGTGTAAGAAAGACATTGGGATACTACCTTTGATGCTTTTCTTCTCCCTTTCCATGACTTCTGATACTCATGGCTTTTGTCTTTCACTATATGGACTTACTAAGCTGTCATGACTCACCTGTGGCATGTAAGAGCATGGAGAATATTGTTTGTAGACTACTCTGTGACTGCATGTAGTATTAAGGACTGGACTCAGTCACTTAAGTGATTCAATTTCTAAAATAAATTAGATATGACAATGCATTATGATTTCCTGAATGCTTTTTTACAATTTGTCTGCACAGGTGACTGCATGTTCCTTGCCCACTTTCACTAGGCTGAGATATTCGTACAGTAAAATGTGTACAGCAAGATGCTATTTGCACAGTAACATCTATAGTGCTGAAATGGATTTTTTTTCATTTTCCTAAAAGGTACTGGGAAATAAAGCTCCAAGAACATGGCAAGGGGTAAACAAATTTTCATTGATACTATTCATAATATAATTTTAGTTGTATGTTTATGTATTGTTATATGCTTCCACAATGTATACTACTGTTTTACTGAATAATACATACAGGATTAAATTTTAAACATTAGGTTCAGATTCTGCTGAAATATTATAAAATAACTTCCTTAAATTGAGTGACAGACAAATATTTCCACATAATTATTATTCAGAAACAAATACTGTAATGCAAATCAAAATAAGAGAGTCTTCTTTGACATTTGCTGGTATGTTTAAGGAGTGAGTGGGCTGTGTGTTTGTTTTTTCTTTCTGGAAACAGAGACTCTTACTGAGTTACATGTAAAAGTGTTGGCTGGACCTGTTTAACCAAAATCTTGTGTTTAACAGAGAGGTAAAAACCAGCTGTATCACAGCCTACTTTATCTTCTATCCTAAAGCACACTTAGTTAAATATGTAGGGTGTCACTGATCTGAATATTGCTGTAGAAAGAGAATGTTACTGGAAGAGTGCCTTGTGGCTATTTGTGTATTTAATGGATGAATTTTGTTTGTTTGTTTCTTCCTATTACATGCTGTTGAAGGACAAATAGAGATTAGGAAGAAAGAAATTAGAACCATTTCACTAGATAATCATATAGAAAATCAACTGTTTGTATGGCCTGTAAGTCTTCTCAAAGCTTTGAAATTCCCATTATCTATGATGTTTCTTAATATGCTCAGAATTATTTTCTATTAAGGAATATCAAAATTCCTTAGTTAATGAAAATATTATTGAGTGAAATGAAGAAAGGATCATAATCTTCAGAGTTACTTAATAGATCAAATAGTTTAGCTTGATATCTAGTCAATAAAAATTTGGTCTCCATTGTACCAAAATAGCTTGCAAAATGGCACTGTATTCAGCTTTCAACTTCACTGGGTTTAATGACTGCATTAATAAGAAATGTCTGATTAAATAAGAATGCACTATTGCACTTTTTGAAGGACTAATACATTCCCAATACCTGTTAATTTTATGCCAATAAAAATTTACGAGAGACAGAGGAGGGATTATCCCTCAGATGTGTTTTTTCCACAATAAATCAGTAAATACAGTCCCTATGGCATCCTGCTTTTGCTCTGAAATTATTTAATCTCAGCAAAGTTTCAAAATCGCAGTGCTTGCTTACTAAATATATCTGTGTAATCTAAAAATTGAAAGAAAAAAGAGACATCTTAAGATGTCTTGGGATACTTACTTTGTTTTGTGACAGCTAAAGTATGATTTCTGTTCCAGTTGGCTAGTTGCTCAGGTTTCTTTTACCAGACATTTCCAAGCTACCAGAAAACTCTGTAAATTGGGTGGGAGTTGTGCCAGTTTTACTGACACTTCATCAGCCTTCATCCTTACAGCTTTAGAGGAGATTAAACTACCCTCAGATGGTTGCAATACAACACAGCATTGTTTGTCATCAAATGATTTGCCTTCAGAAAAGGATGGTGTTTAAAAATAATTGCTTAAACATCTTTTTACACTTTATCAATTGCAGATAACTTACAGATCACCTCTGATGATGCAATTGTGATTCAAAATGGAGGACAAATCCATTTTTAGAAACTAAATCTTTTTGTTTGAATGGATTAGTTGTACCAGTATGTTTTTAGAATAAGGTAACTCAAGTTGAGACAAAATAGGAGTTAATCTAGAATAGAATATAATTAATTCATCTCAAAAAAACCCAAAAATTTATCTTAAACATGACAACTGTAGGAAGTTGCAGTTTTGAGCAAGCAAATAGGTCTATAAGTTGATCCTCTCCCTGGGAGCACAAGTACTTCAGATTGTGTTAAATATGTGGAGAATATTGCAGCATAGAAGTACCAGCAGTTGGCTGTGCTGTCATTGGAAAATTTCATGTTCTCCTCAAGCCTGGAATTGATGGCCAGAACAGGCAGGCAATCATCAGCATAGTTGTAAAAACTGGTTTATTTCTTAAAAATAAATACAAAAATATAAATATAAAACATTGGCAGATAGAATTTGATGAAATGAAGTTGCACAAACTTTTTTTTTAAACCAGCTGCATATTACACTTATCAACACCACGTGTACATTTTGTTTTAATTTTAATGTACAGAACAGGACATATTGAATTTTTTCTTCTTTGCCATCTTAAAAGCTGCACTTGCAAGGATAGCACATGTACCTAACAGAAGCGGCTTGTACATGAGGTTGCTTAAGGGATTATCACCCTGTTCAAATTTCTTAAGGTAAGGTATTGTTTATTTTACTTACTAAAATGGACAACACTGAATTTCCATAGCTTTGGCTCTTGGAAGGTCATTAAATAAAATACTGTATATATTCCAAATGGCATCCTACTAGAAAGAATGAATGACATTAATGGACAAATTTAAAACAAATTTTAAAAGGAAACCATTGTGCTGAGTGGCAGGAATATTTTCCTGAATGTTAAATACTGTTGAGTGCAGAAGGTGTCTGTAAAATTACTTCCACTCAAAGGAAACAAAAATGTAGCCTACTGTAGGTTAAGAAGTGTCTTTGTCACTTTCTGCTCCACCGTACATTTCAGCTAGCTTATTAAACCGAGGGCCCCATTCTCGGAGGTAATCATAGTTTTGGTCTCCTTCGGTGGTACCTGACTCTAAGGAGCTCAAGGATTCAGCTATTGAATCGTTTCCTTCATACGCATAGGTTGCAAGCGAGTCATACGGCGGTGCAGAAGGATCAGTATCATGATCTTTTAGCCTTTGGTTAATGAAATCTCGGACATCTGTGTTGTCTGGTGCTGAAGGAGTCCTCCGTGGTACAAATAATGATTCAGGGATAATGTCTCGTCGAAGCTTCTTATCTTCGATAGCTGCAGGATTCCTCAATGTGCCAATATCAAAGGCTTGTGTGTCTTCCTCTCCACCACCTTCATCATTATAACTCACAATGTTGTCTCTGATGTCCTCTTTAGAGAGGATCAAAGGCTCCTTCTTTCTTTGCCTCTTCAGAGCAGCAAACAGCACCACTATAACTTAAAGAGAGAAACAAAGAATGGGTAAAGTTCTCTACTTAACAATTTCTTAGTAGCAAATCTACCAGCTACAAGAGCTTTATTTCAGCTACATTTCAGCAATTCATTTCTGTCTGATAAGTGGATAAACATCTCTATCAGTATTAAACAGCAAGGTCTATATCAAAAATGTACTATTTTGCACATACATTGTTTGCTCTACTTTACAGAAACATGAGCTTGTCTACATGCTGTTTCTGTAATTTCAATGAGTTTTAAAATAGCCAGGTCTATTCTGAAGATTTTTTCCCTTTTTTAAGCTCAAAGAATCCTGTTAGAAACTGGTTTTGAGGTGAATTATAGGTCATTAAGTAATATTCTGAAAAGAGCAAAGCAGAGGTTTTACAATTTTTTTTTTTTTTTTTTAATTACAACATGGAAACCTCTGGGTAGGCAGTGCTTTAGTGTAGTAAAAATACTATTTACTGTTATATTCAGTGTGAAACATACACTGCATGTTGACTTAAGATAGCCATTTAAATAAAAAAGAGACATTCCTTCAAAAAAAAATTAAATTGAAAGATAGGAAAGTGATTTTTGATTATGCTATTCCTCCTCTCTGATCTTCTTTTTTGGACAACTTAACGAAAGAACAAAATGAGCTTCTGGTTGCACACTGATAGTTTTAACATTCTGGGGCTTGAATTCTTATTTACAATGTCCAATTCCCAGACAAATGGGTTTTGCCTTTTTCTTTTGTTTTAAGATGCAGTTGAATTCTTCTTGCAAAATCCATTATCATTAATTTTACCAACCTGAACAGTTTTGTAAAATGAGTTAGGCCTGAAGCATTTGTTCAAGGGGTAAAAGACGCATTTCTGTTTCTTACCCAGCAGGATAATGATGCAGAGGAGAATGGCAACCAGCGCCCCTGTGCTGAGGCCAGCAGGGAGGAGCAAGGCTTCAGCGCTGCAGGACTGCATGTTCCCCCGGCTGTCGCAGGCACACACGCGAATGGTCAGCGTGCCCGTACTGCTCTGGATCGGGTAGTCATTGTCTGATATCACCACTGGTAGAAGGTAAGTACTTATTTCATGTCGACTAAAGCCATTCCTTCTTGTCAGAATTCTGGCAGTGTTATCTAGATTGATTAAAATATACTGTTGTAGAGTATACAATTATAAGATTCATCATTTATAGTACATGCAAACCATCATATTTTACATCACTGGTAGCATTTGGAAACTGTTTCTGATATCATAGTGTTGTGGTTTAACCCAGTGGGTAGCTAAAAACCACACAGCCATTCCCTCCCCTCCCCCCACCAGTGGGATGGCGGAAGAGAATTAGAAAAAAGGTAAAACTTGTGCGTTGAGATAAAGATAGTTTAATAGGAGAGAAAAGGAAGGGAAAATAATAAGGATGATAAAAGAATATACAAAACAAGTGATGCACAATGCAATTGCTCCCACCCGCTGACTGATGCCCAGCCAGTCCCTGAGCAGCTGCGCTGCCCCCTGGCCAACTCCCCCCAGTTTTACTGTTCAGCATGTTCAGCATGACATCATATGGTATGGAATATCCCTTTGGTCAGTTTGGGTCAGCTGTCCTGGCTGTGTCCCCTCCCAGATTCTTGTGCACCCCCAGCCTCCTCGCTGGCAGGGCAGTATGAGCTGAAAAGTCCTTGACTTAGTGTAAGCACTGCTTGGCAACAACTAAAACATCAGTTTGTTACCAACATTATTCTTATCCTAAATTTAAAACACAGTATAATATCAGCTACTAGGAAGAAAATTAACACTATCCTAGCTGAAACCAGGACACATAGTAATGTTTCTCTTTTTCTAATGACATTCCCATTTGATCAGAAAGCTATTTATAATTTTTTATACATCTGGACTGTTCCTCTGTGTCTCTGCACCACCTTTAAGTGTGATTTGAAATGAGGAGTCCTCAAAACTTAAAATGTTTTATAGATTAATACATGCAGTGCATGACACCATTCCAGCTCAAGCTGAAACCCTGAAATAAAGTGGCCAACTGAGAAAAAATAACCTTCCACTTCACACTGTTCAACAAGCACTCTGTTCTGAAAGATTCTTCCTATAGATCTTCTGTGACAACACCCACGGGAATGCTATCGGTAAACTCAGTATGAGATTTTCCACATCAAAACATTTTCAACATACTGTAGAACAATTAATTATGTGCCTTAGCACATGGAGGAGATATTTTGGGGGTAAAAATTGTCTTAGGAAATCAGAAAATGTGAAAGACAGTAGGTGTTCCTGCACAGTTTTGAGAAGAGAATTTAGTAGACTGTATTTGTAGCAGACAAATCTTTGTTGTATGCAGTATACTTCAGTATCAAAAACCGTTCACTGAGTGGCCAGAGGGAAGGTAAGGAAGGGAAGGAATGAATAACAGGGAGAAACTATTTCTTCTGTTGTTAGGGCCACAACACTAGAGTGTGAGCCAGCATTAGAGTTGCTAACTTTTTAGTCCAAAAGAGAGAAAATTCAAATTTAGTCTTCATTAGAAAGTATATCTAATTTTCATCACACTTGTGGATTTCTTGAGTTAAGTGGTTAGCTATCTTGCCAGCCAACTTCAGGCTGAATGAAAATAACCCATGTGCAAAAAGAAAGAAGACAATTACAGACACAAAAGAGCAAGGTCTGTACCTCTGTACAATCAGGACCTAGTCACCAAGATGTAATCTTTATTTAAAATATTAAATTATATATTATTTTCATTGCCTCCATGATGTGAAACACAACATTTTCCTTTATTGCATCCCTTCATTGTTTTTGGGTATTTGTATGCTTTTTTTTTTTTTTCACTCAACATCAAAAACTGTACGTCTGATGAATCTTTAAATGTCTCTGCTGCCTGGGATTTTATAAGGTACCCAAACAATTTCTTTTCAATTCTTCACTTTCCTTACTCTTAGATTTTTATTTTCTATCTAACCTAAAATTCTTAATGTTGTTTCTTCCTGAAATCTTCATCACGAAAAGAGAACTGTTGCCATTGCCTTTGTGCCTTTAACACACTTGAAGGCTAATACCACGTCCCCCCTCATTTATTTCTTCTGTAATCTAGGCCCCTCTCAGTTAGTCACACTGACAATGAAGGCCAAAATGGGTGCATAGTTCCTCTTCCCCAACAGAATCTTTTAAAAATTTACTCAGATGAAAAAGTTTTACAAAGGATCAGAAGAAAAGCCAAAGTGGCTGTGCGCTCAGAACCATTACTTTCACTACTAACTCTGTGAACTACATTAGGAAACCTCAGCAAAGATTTTATCTTTATTTTTTAAATGTATATAGGCTGCAGGGGTCATACATGTGATTCAGGCATAGATTCATCTTGCTGAATTGAGGCATTCCAGATAGGTTAGTCATCCTAGGTCTTCCTCTGGTCGGTAAAGAAGTCTGGATACTGCCAGACTGAGAGCTATGGTGGGTGAACTGCTTTCTGCAGATATTCTCTTGACTGGTTCTGAAGTCTTAGGGAGATTGGTTGTATGCCTTAAGCTAGTCCAGGCTCCTAAGTACAAGCTCAAGTTTTTGTTTTTAAAAAATCATGTTCTTTTTTTTTTCTAAGGCTGCTGTTTGTAAGGCAGAGGTAAACAAGTTACACAATGTTTAATGTCTTCACTAGTAATAGTTGTAATATATTTTAAGAAATTATGAAAGACAAAAGTCAGATGGATGACAAATGAACAAACTTATTTTTTGACAGGAAGCTGTCTGGAAAGTTAAACAAGTTAGAACAGCTGAGGACATCCTGTTTTCTGCCAGCCTTCAAGAACCATATATATGTGGTCAAAAAAATTTCCATAAGGTTGTCTTTTTAGAAATAAATTTTTTTAAAAAAATCTATCTATGGCTTTTAGAAGGACTAGATAGCCAAATGTCCAGTTGTTTCAAATATGCTAAAATGTTAGGGTTAGGG